AGTTGAAGGAATTCGTCACCAAATGTGTAGCTGCAACATGCATGAGAGGGAGTTTCTTTTAGAAGCAGGATGAGATGGTTGCAGTGGAAGAGGCCTGGGCTATGCGAGATTTACTTGCCTGTCTCCCTGAGCTTGTCAACAGCTGAGTTGCTCGAGCCCCAGCTCAGACAGCTGCCCCTTGTCATTATCATGGCGCTCATTGAGAAAACAAGAGATGGGAAGAAGGAAAGCAAACATCCTCTCCCACCTGCCACAGCTCTGAAGCTGGGGTCCAAAGCATGCAGGAAGTTGCCTTCCTCACCTTCCTAGAGTCCTGAAATGTCCCTCATAGGAAATCAAAGCTGCTTTCTTTCCACAGCTGGCTATCACTAATGAATGTAAAGCCTTACACTACCATCTACATAAAATGTATGTTTTTAAAACATTTTTATTCTATTTCTCCCTTGTCTCCTTCCATTTTTTGCCCATGTTTTCCATTTCAAAGAGTAACAGTCTCTGTGCATCAGGTTTATCACTTAAGAGAGGGAGTCCCTTTCCTTCAGGAAGATTGGAAGCTCCCAATCTCTGGCCCTATTTGAGAAGGCTACAGGAATCCTCGAAATATGGTGGAATTGGGGCTTGGAGTTAAAAGCAAGTTAGTTTAAGAAAAATAATGCAGAAGCCATTTCTTGGATATCTGAGATTTAAATCATGCAAAAACCCATCATCTACATTTTCCAACAGCTATGTTATTCATTACTGCATGTGATCTTCAGTACAATCCTATAATGGAGCTAAGACAGGTGTTTATTATTTAGCATTAACAAAGCAAACTCCTCTCACTTTTATGTTATTCTTCACAACACTCACTGGGATTTGTCATTATTATAATCTCCATTTATTAAACATTTTTAAGTTTTATAAACACTGAGTTGAGAGATTTGGCAAAGCTCATTCAGGCTCTGTTTCCTATGCCAGAACAAAATTGATAATTGAGATGCTTTTCTGGGTAATTTTACCCCCAAATCCTTCTCTAGTAAGAATTACCTGTTATATTATTAGTGTGGAAAACAGAATCACAGACTCTGGAGAGACCACTGGCTTGGAAGTTAGATGTTGAGATTAATTGTTACCTGAGGACTTGGGATTTAGTTTGTTATGGGTGCCAGGTCATGGATGAAAAGCTAAGAAATGGAAGCCAAGGGATATAAAAGACATGATCTTATATATGTACCCTGCATGAAGAGGTCTGGTCAGCAGGGCCAAAAGCCTAGTCATTCCACAATTAGTCAAGTTACTTGTTGTTAATTGAGGAAGTGGTTCTACAAAAAGGTCTATGATTGTGATGTAATGGATTGACAAGGAATCTAGAATCTTGAGAAGCATAGCTGGAACTGGAAACTATTAGTAAATCTGAAATCTAGAGAATCACAGGTAGAGCTACAAAGTCAGCAGGAAATCTTGGTTATAAATCGTCTGTGTCATTCAGAATCCAGACCCTCACAAAGAGAACTGAGGCAGCAGTAATAGAGGAGGAGTCAATATTGGGGGAAGAATCACTTCTTAGTGATTGCACTTGTGTCTAAGTGCAAACAGCTGTGGATTCTCAGTTCTAGATAGAGTATTGTAAGGTAGGGCCACTTCTATGGGTGTTCTTTCATTCATATTTGTCAGGCACGAGGCATCACCAATAAACCAGAGCACACTTTTCTGTGAAGCCCAGAAGTAGCCTAATCTTTCTCAATGTAGTGACCCAAGATACCATGGATAATCAATTGGGATTAAAATTTGGGGTCTATTTCAAGCAAATAAGTTAATATAGCCTATTGGAAAATTAGAATTATGGTTCTATGGGGTGGGGTAGCTATACATCACAGATTTCCCAGAATGGTTCCTATTTATGTCTCTTCTTGCAACGTAATTATTAATAGCACCCCATTCACTTTCAAAAGTGTCCCAGTATGGTCTATAAATTATATTGTCTCTTATTATGGAGAAATTGGTAAGGATGCAACATCTACTTATGACTGACCATGTACTCTTAATTCTGAGTAAAAACCGTTAGTCAAATCGCTGAAGAAAACCCCCTGAGTATTTGATATGGAGATCACATTTATTTTATGCACACCCATGGTGTCTGTAAGGATTCTTAGTCTCAGATTTCCTTCTGAGGGAAATGAATACCTATATCTAAAACTGAAATGGAGTGGGCACTGGTGTAAGAAATACTCAGTGAATTTTATGATCCATAGGATCAGAAGCTCTGAGATGAGGTAAAAAATATTTTATCTAATACTGCTGGAGAAAGTCAAGTTATATTACTATTAGGTTTGCACAAGTATTTGTTCTCTGAACCAACAGTTACAGAACACCTATGAGAAAAGAGTGACTGTGTGACACATGTGCTGCCTATGCCAGATTCCTACTCCCATGGCAGACATCATTAATCAATCATGGAATCCTCTCTGTCTCTCTCTCAGGACAGGCTCCCTGTCAGAATCCTCCACAAGTGCTCTTGGCAGCTGTACCAGATAAACAGAACTTATACTAGGGCCGAAATCAAGTTTTTGTCCATCCTCAGCCTCTCATATGTCAGGTGCTATACTAGGTGGTAGAAATACAAAAAAAAATAGAAGCTATGGTTGCTTCTGATCTACTGGAGGAGGCAGAAAAGGGAACCATTCATTGCGGGAATACAAGGACCCAGGGATGCTTGTGCAGTAGGTCCCAATTACATCGCTGTCTACAATGTAGACATAGATGATGAAAGGATCTATGGTATGGATCTATGATGGATCCATGATGATGGATCTATGGTACACATAAAGCTATTTTGATGAAGTATTTTTTAAATGAATTAAATAGTAAATAATTCATTAAATAAATCCCTCTTCCCAATCTTGGCTTCATATAGCCACAGATACAGATTCCACTATTTCTTGTTCAATCTGTTACTTATTTCTCCTCAAACTTCTGTCTTAAATTAAGAACAAATAGCCTGAGCATCCTTGATACATTAGTCAGATTTTTATGTTTATTTCTTGTTTTATGGTTTTTTTTTCTTTTTATCCTATAACCATTCAACTTTGGCTGCCATATCTGCACCTAAAATCTAAATCATGTCCTTGCTGTCTACAAAAGTGAAAATTGCTGTGGTATTTTAGCATGATTTCTAATGCTCAAATATCATTGGAGATGTAGCTTGTAAATTTTCCAACCCACAAGCTCTCTAGATCCATCTTCTGAATGTTTTCTCATGCTTTGGAGTCATTTGTAATTGTGTCTGCTTTTTCAGTAAAATTTACTTAGCTTTGTGACTGGTCCTCCACTAATTTTAAGCCTAATTTGTGGTAATATGTATCTATCTACCTTATACAGCTAGCTTTGTGCTCTATGTTGCCTCCTACCCTAGTCTACCACTATAATTATCCATAATTACCTTCTAGAGCACCAGGAGAATCTCCCTTCATTGCCAGTATGCCAAGTCTCATCCCAAGTACTATCTGCTGTTTTTTTCCTTACTTCAAAATTGTGTCCTCTTTAGAAATCTCAGTTTGTAGACCATAGATGTCCTGAAATATTTGGATGCATATTTCTAGGGGGGACTATTCATTATTATGGGTTCATATTTTTAACTCAATTTCTGCTGAGGCAAAAATATTTCTGAATCTATCTATACATGTGATATAGTTTGTAAATCTAGAGGTAGTTTTTCTCAAGGTAAATATTAAAAATAAATTTTAGTTCTTTTTTTGTCAGGCGAAGGTTTTTCTTTTCCAGCTACAATTCTCTGATGGCTATAACTGATATTTAAGCCTCAAAATATTTTGGGATTGGTTCAGATAAGCATCAGTGATTTTGAATTACTCAAAACTTTTGAGTCCATAAATTAAAAATGTATGAGCAAATAGCTCACGCCAGATTTTTGCTCTCAGATACAATCAGCTCTAACAACAAAGCATGTGAATGACAAATGCAATATAAATTTTATCTGACCTTCAGGCAATCTCATGCTTATGAACAGGTCCTTTTCCAAGAGTTGTTTTTTTTTTTTTTAGTAAATTCCTTAGAACCCAGAATCTATTACTCACTGCAACAGTGCTACATGGTGGTGAGGTACATAAACCCATCAGAACCTGATATGGAGTGCTATGAATCCTAAAGATCTTTTGTCATGGACCTTGAGTTGGAAAACAATAATAAAAGTAGCTAATTATTCAGCTCCAGGTACTTTGCATGTGTTTACTCACTTAGCAACAACTCTATGAGACAGGTACTACCTTCATACAGAGTTTATGGGGACAAAGAGATTAAGTTACTTGCACACAGCACTCAACTTGTAGAAGAATGGAGTACTACTCAGCTTTAAGAAACAATGGTGATATAACACCTCTAGTATATTCCTGGATAGAGCTGGAACCCATTCTACTAAGTGAAGTATCTCAAGAATGGAAAAACAAGCACCACATGTACTCACCAGCAAATTGGTATTAACAGATCAACACTTCAGTGGACATATAGGAATAACATTTATCGGGTGTCCGGCAGGTGGGAGGGGGGAGGAGGGGATGGGTATATACAAACACAATGACTAAGAGGTGCAATGTTTGGAGGATGGACACGCTTGAAGCTCTGACTTGAGAGGGGAGGGGGATGGGCAATATACTTAACCTTAACACTTGAACCTCCATAATATGCTAAAATCAAATAAATAAATAAAAATAATTTGAACCCAGGCATTCTGGCTCCAGGGCTAGTGTTCTCAACCACCACTTCTGGACAGGTCTGGGGAGGGGTGGAGAGAAGAAACTGCTTAGAATAAATGTAGCAGTGAGGGGAGACAATACTGAAAATGAGGAGTTGAGAACAGCTAGCCATGAAGGAAGGAATACTAAACATTGATCAAGTGGAATTTGGCATCCGTTTTTTCTTCATATTCCTAATTGCTTTCTGATTTTCTTTATTATTTCTCATTCTAATATCCTCATTTATTCTTTCTTTTCTTTCTTTCTCATACCACTACAGACTCTACCATTGAATGTAAATTGAATAATAGGGAATATGGGATTGGAGCCGCACTGGATCAAGGTAACCAATGGTCCTGGTTTGCCCATGATCTAAGGAGTTTCTGGGGGCACCTGATACTCAGTTTTAAACCAGGAAAGTTCCTAGCAAAGTAGAACTAGGTTGGTGACCTTAGTGTGTATATGACAGGCACGTAGGAACAAGATCCTAGAGACAAGGAGGAAGTGAAGTGAGGACTAGAATGAATTCCTCAGGAGCAGCGGCCATGGGAAATTTGTGTGAGCTGAACTTCAAGCAGCTTGGGTGGGTTTTTTGAGCTTCAAACTCTAAGTGCACTGAGAACATTAAGCAAAAGTTTCTGCTTGATTGTTTCTCCCCAGTTCTTAAGTAGTATTTAGGCAGATTAAATTTGGCCCCAACCTAGGTCAGGAGGTTTTAAAAGAGTGCGGAAGCTGCTTTTATCTGATGAAAGCAACCGGAGAAACAACACTGTGTTAAAAGTTTACTTGTCTCTACAGGAAAAAAAAAGTCTTATTCAGATTACTCAGTGGCATTTTATGCTGTTCTCCTGTTTCATGATTGATAGAATAAATAACATTTAAATTTTATATGTAGATAATGAATAGTTTTTTTGTGATAATTATCAAATTTATCTTTTATTGAGAAACAACTTGAAATACTCTATGACATTTTATGCTGTCTACTATGTTCTAGTTTGCTTTGTAAGTACAGATTTGTTACTCATCACTTGAGTTACTTTCCTTATCTTTTTAAAATTATAATTAGTTGGAAGTTTTAAAAAATATTACTAAATGAATAAACACTTGTTTATCATTGTTGATCTTAAATGAGTGTTTTCCTTGATGAAAAGACATTTTGAAGAGGTTTACAATGAAAACAAAATTCCAAAGCAACACAAATAATAGCCTTTGATATGCGTTATTGCTTTTTCAAGCACTCTTATTACATAATTTTAAATTGTTCTTAGAGATATTATGTTTTAAATAGATAAAGTTCCTGGAACAGTCTTTATGCAATGTTTTTGAAGTTGGAAATATCACAGCATACCAATGAAGTCTATCTAGATAAAACTATAAAAAGCAGTCAAATACCATTCCTCCATGTATATCAAGACATCACATTGTACATCTGATATTTTTTATTGTTAATGTATACAATAAAAAAGAAAATACTTCAATCCTCTAAAAAAAGAAATTTGAAATGGCCATTAATTCACCTTAATCATTAAATTTCTATATTATGTATAGGAAAGCCAAGTTTTCTACTGATTTATTTCTTTTGGCACTCAAAAAAATTACAAAGAATAATATAATAAATGTATATAATCTTTAACTCAAACCTTGCTGTATTACTCAAATCTTGGTGTAGTGACTACTGAAACATCAATAGTTCATGGCATTCTGTTCAGGCTGCTATAACAAAATGCCACAGGTTAGGTGGCTTATAGACAAGAGTAAATTTATTTCTTGCAGTGTTGGAGACTGGGAATTCCAATATCAAGGCTTCAGCAGATCTGGCATATAGTGAAGGCCCTTATCCTTGTAGATGGCCTTTGTACTCTACCTTTACATGGCAGAAGGGATCTCTCTTGGGCCTCTTTCACAAGAGCAGTAATACCATTCATTAAGGCTCCAGCCTCATGACCTAATCACTTCCCAAAAGACACATCTCCTAATATCATCACCTTGGGGGTGGGAATTTCAACATATTAATTTTGGGGAATGTAAACATTCAACCTATAGCATAACACATTTTGTTAGATTTAGATTAGTTTCACCTCTACTAGGCTCTACTGGACTCAGATGAGTCTTGCTTCTCACGTCTTATCATTCTGGGACCTAGACTGAAGAAGCAGCCACTCCCTGGGACATGCTCTTTTTATGGTGGAAAGCAAAGCCTCAAGCATGGACAGAGCCTAACGCAAACACTTGGTGCCACAGGTCACATCACCTCAGCCTCCTGCTGACTTCAGCAGTTCTGAGTCTGCTGCCAGCATCACAACTCCAGCACTGGCCATACTACTCTCAGCCTTTCTGTCTCAGGGCTTTTTCTATAGCCTCTGTAGTCTACTCAGCCTGCATGCAATCCTTGCAGAGTATTGCCTCCAGGCTGGCACTTCAGCTTCAGCCTTCAGTAGGTCATTCCAAAGCTCTAGCAGATGAGCAGCTTCTAAATGGTGCGGCATATAATACAACCAGTGTATCCTGTCATTGTGGCCTAATCTTGTACCTTTTCACTGTGAAGTAAACTGTCTTTCAATATGTTGTGCAGAATTCTAAGTCTGCAGATCACCCACTCGTTAAGCCTCCCAATACTGGTGATGGCTGAGGACATGCAGCCGGGAAAGGCGGACTCACCTAAAATGGGTGTCTAGTCCTGGAGTAACAAACTACTGGCACTTTCTGGACAAAAGAGACCCAATCTAGTCAACTTCCAGCTAAGTGGCAAGTTGATTTTCCCAAGGAATAAAGCCATGCAAGTGTTCAGTGTTGGTCTCTATTGTGGATGGATTGTACATTTAGGAGTGACCTTGGTTAGAATGGCCTGGGTAAGTGAAAATCCGAGCTGTTAGGCCCAGGCTTGGCTTCCATGTCAGCAGCCACCAGTGCCACTTTGTTGACATGCCTATCATACCTATTCTGGGGTAGCCAATGACCTAGACTGTCTAATATCAACTGGTTGAGACTTTTTAAAACTTGATTGATCAGTGCCTCTTCTGTGGTGAATACTTTCTAATAGAAATTAAAGTGATAAAATAATTCCACACTTTTTTCCCTACTTCCATATATCTATCAACATCTTTCTACACCTGATATCCTTTTATCTGATCTCCAATCTTTTTCTATTCAGGCTCCTTCCTGACCAGTTTGCCAGGCTATCAGCGCATTTCCATGAATCTGTATACAGCCTTACCTTGAGCTACTTCTTGCTTTTTACAAAATGGATAACAAAGTATATCACTTAAGGCTTTGCATGTTAGGAAAATTCTTCTCACCATTTTATTTTAAAGCCATTTTCTGATTGTGACTACGATGTAGCCACCATCTATTTTCAGCTTGTATCCATACACCAAACTGACACATCCATAAATCAAGTTCATACTTTTCTTCTGCTTCCACTGGTCTTATGGACCAGGTACATGCCAAGGGAGGGACACTGGTTCAACTAGAGTGGATAACACGGAAGCCTAGATTTCCTGTTCATGCAGTTTACTCACACTCTCTGCCCTGCTTGGATAGATCCCAGACATATCATTTCCATTTTATCAGATTCTACTGCTGGGCCCACCTGAATTGGGAAGTTCAGGGTACATGGTCACTTGTTTGAATTAATGGTCGAACATTCCATCTCCACCAATGCCTAGGAGTATGCTGGGAGAGTTTTTTGTTTTGTTTTTCTTTGTTCATTTTTTTTTTCTTTTTGCCTTAAAGGGTTTATAGTTTTCTACCATAGAAAACAATGGCCTTGATCTGGAATGCTAGAAGTCAATGTTGTGATTCTCCCATTGGCTTTTGGCATATACTGCAAACTGTACCTTTTCCACAACCAACACTTCCAACAGTACAAGGTCTGTTGGATCATGTGGACCAAATAGCAGGGATGCTTCCACTACAGCCTGGACCTGCTACAGAGCCTTTTTCTGCTCCAAGTCCCACTCAAAATTGGTGGCCTTTTATGTTACACAGCAGATGGGCCAGACATTATTCTTAGGTGTGAGATAGGTGGCCTACAGAACTTGAAGAGGTACAAAGTTTTGTGCCTCCTCCTTTGTGGTAGGGATGCAAGATAAATCAATTTGTCTGTCACTTTAAAAGAGATGACCCTGTACATTGAAGGCATGGAATTCTTAAAATCTTAACAGTAGTGGCAGGTCCCTTATTCGTTATAGATTTTTCTTTCTCACTTTGTGCCCATATGTCATACCAAAGCTTTGAGCTTGCTGGCCACTTCCTTCTTTGTCTGCCTTGAATGCAATGGAACAAGATGATGTTCCTGTGGAATGTCCTCATGGGTCTGATCTCTTTGGACTATATTATGACAGAGAGCAAGTGAGGCAACCTAGCCAAGAGACAGAAATGTAAATGTATATTGTTGAGGGTTCCATGTGAATGCAAATTGTTTCTAATTCATTTTTCTGATGGTGTAGAAAAGAACAAAACTCACTGGATGTGAAACTCTCTTCAGTGCCCATCCACCTGTGCCAATCATCTGTGGTCATTGCAGCCTCCTGATTTCCAGCAGGTAAGCACTGATATCTAAGCTCCACTTCTGCAGGCCTCTGTCATCTCCGTTGCTATTAACAAATTAAGCTATGTGACAATCTTTCCTACTGTCAGCTCTTCAGAAAAGAGTCATGGCAGAAAATATTAGTAAATCTTTTGTCTGTCTCCCCAGCACATTCCTTATAACCTTCATGAATTATTCGTGTGCTGGGCTCTTCCATGGGATAGATTACTCAGCTGGGTTTCCTGGTATCAGAAAATATATACCCACTTCTCTGAGCCTTTTTGTAATACCTCCTAATCTTTCATGATAATTCAGGCATTTCAACTTACTAAGACTTTCTCCAGGTTTCTGAGACCCACCTTAGCTTCCAATTTTCCCCAGGCTCTGAGGTATTTGTCAGAGCATTAAATCCCATGTTTTGAAAGAATGACCCTGAGTCAAAAATCTCTTTCAAGTCATAAGTTCTAGCCCTGGTGAGCAAGCATTTTGTCTTAGACAATTTGGGGCTTCTATAAGAAAATAGCTGAGACTGGGTAATTTATAGAGAACAGAGATTTATTTCTTACAGTCCCATAGTCTGGGAAGTCCAAGATTGAGGGGCCCACATCTGGTGCGGGCCATCTTGCTGTGTCATTCCATGGCAGGAGGGCAAAGAGAGGGCAAGAAATGAGACAAAAGGGGACCAAACTTGTTCTTTAATAAGAAATCCACTTCTTCAAGGGCAAGAGAGAGTATGCACAAGAGAGGGAAGGGGGTTGAATTCATTCTTCCATCAGAAACACACTCCTGTGCTAACTAACCCCTTCTCATAATAACAGCATTAATCCATTCATGAGGACAGAGCCCTCATGACCTAAGCACCTCTTAAAGTCCCACCTCTCAACTATTGCATTGGGGATTAAGTTTCCTACACACGAACTTTGGGGGATACATTCAGACCGTAGCATACTCTGAAAATCCAATCCCATGGATACTATTCTGAATCTGGATAGCATATGCTAGCTAATTCTTGAGATTTCATGGGTGGTTATCTCTTTCCTTACTTATCAGTCCCAGTATGTTTTCATTCCCCATCTGGGTTAGTCTGAAAATTAAATTTCATAATTTTTAGCCTAGAAGCTTAGAGAGAAGTGGGAGAAATTCCTGAGGAATGTACCATTTACCTTATGTGACAGTGGCCTCAGAAGTATCTTCTTGCATGAGAAAGTTTCCATACCTTAATAGGGTATGGTGGACCAATTCTGCATGCTCTTAGGTTGTAGATCTTTGGGGGAATTCACTCAAATGTCCCCATCCTACACTCCCATGCCCCAACTTCTCCCAAGGAGGTCTCTGACTTTAGCATAAGAAAACTCCTCAACTGAGCATCTAATCATCTTTGCAGCTCAGAGGCCCCAAATAGCAGAGCCTGAATTTGCTCTCCAGCTATGTCCACTCTCTCTCAGCAAAAGATAATAAACTCTTTATAGGCTATGCAAGATGCCTACCAGCTTTCACACTTAACATTTGAGCTATTTGTTAATCATGCTCAGTTTCTCATTATCCCACAATGCAACTTATAATAGTAATAATTATCCAATTCCATTGACTTTGTATAGCCGATTCCACTGTGTTTCTACATTCCTCACTCTGTATTTTTCGAATACGTGAATATTGTCCTGGCTAAGGCATTCACCCCCAACACAATATTCTCCAAAGTCACCATTAATGAATTTTTTATCAACTGAACTACAATCTTGTGCCAGAAAATATCCATGCCTCCACACACCAATGGAAAGGGATCCTCATTGTCTGGTAAGGAGCAAACAACACACTTGCAAAACTCCTCCTTATTCACTAATATCACAAATCATTTCCAGTACCAATACGTGTCAGTCGGTTCTTCTAGGAAGGGAAAGCCAAGATTGGTTTAGAAGTGCAAAAAAATTATTGAAGAATAATGCATGTGAAACACCTGTGGTTAAAGCCTGGCTCCTATGAAGGAGAGATAAGAGACCAGAAGATTGGGTAGCATGAGCCTTATGCAGCAATGCAGCTCAGAAGACCCCAGCCAACCTCATGGGGACCTTTATTAGAAGGACTGCTCTTTGAGAAGCCCTGTACTGCCTCAAAATTGAGGGTCTCTTGCAACACTACGATGTTCATTGGCTGAGCAATGTCCAGGAAACATGGAGCCTTGGCTCAAAGTTGGGGCATATCTTGAAGGCACCTGCAGCTGGAGATTGTCATCTTACTGTGCATTCCTTTTGATAGCCTTTCTGTTGAAGGGCTATCTGAGCAGCCTACCTCCATGGCTGTCCGAAAGACTTCTGACTGATACAGAGTCATCACAACAATTTATTCAAATAGCTAAACCTTTCATTAAAACACAAAATAACTCCAAAAGGATGAAATTAAAGAAACTACAAATATGTGTTTAGTAATGAACTCCTCACAATTTGTTACTTTTCTCACTCTTCCTCAACTCTAATTATCTTTTAATATTCTTCCGATTTTATCCCGTTTTGACAAAACTGTGCCTTGCATCTTTATATTTCCTTGGAATGCCATTGTATTTCTTTTTTATCATAGCTGTGATATTGTTTTTATGTAAAAATCTGTGTTTTTAATTTATTTTTCTGGTGAGAGAAACCAAATAGCCAGTACGAAAAGAGGTTTCTCACAAACACACAGATATACACACAGGCATACAAACCCATACACAAACACATGCACACAATTTCTAATTTCTACAAATGAATTAAGAGTAATAAATATACTATTTGGTGTCTTACTTCAAAAGCTCATAGTCAGCTAATCATAGTGCAGCATTAGGTTGCTTTTTCTCACCCTACCTCCCCTCTATCTCCTGCTATCACAAAAATAACAATACCATTGTGGAAGATAAAGACCACATCCTCTTTCCAATTTCCTTCTAGTTCCTGCTAAGAGAGATTAATTTGCCAGGATATGAGGATGTTGATCTTCATGAAAGCTAGTCTCTTGCCTAATTAGGTAAAGTTTTCTCATCCATATTACTAGCTGGCTTCCTGCTTCTCCTTAATAATAAATAATTTTGTGCTGCATGAAAAAAAATTGTTCATTCAGTTGTTACTAGAGCAAGCATTTCAGTCAGAAAATATAGTATGTGACAAAGAGCCTATCTTTTCTCATTTCCTAACTATACATATTATCTTAAAGTACAAATCTAAAATGACCACATCATAGCATTTAAAAACACATTTAGTCAGAATTTATTAAAGTTTTTCAAGAAAGTAATGTAAAGTATGTGTTTTTGTCTTTTCAAATGAATATTCAAAAAATACTTTGGGGTGAATGATGCTATTTTAGGGACTTGATAGCTTTCTAACAAAATGTTGATCTTAGCATTTGTCCTCCCAAAATACTAACTGGATCTGCGACTCTATAATAGGTAGAAGATGACACTCATTTTCTAAGAGAGAGAGAAAAAAATTAAATGAAAAACTGCTGATGGTCTAAAATAAAAATGAACAATTCATTTTTACTAAATGGGTAGCTATTATCACGTGGCTGATCAGGAAAAGTGCAAAATCCAGAAGATATGGCCCCACTCCTCCTTCTTTTATGAGTCCAACTTTGCACCTTTGCTTTACATATCCCACATAGAACAAGTTAATGGGTACAACCACTCCTCATGTTTTTCTCGCCTACCCCAAACCTGGCTCTTCTTCTAAAATAGAACATGACTAATGTACTTTAGTTGGGAATGTGTGCAATTATATTGGTCTTCCTAGTTTGCTGCCTTGGAACACTGTGTAACAAAAGACTACTCACAATGAACTCACCCTCCCTTTGAAATATGAAATAAACTTCTTCCATTAAAGTACTAAGATGCTCAATAAAATCATTAGAAATTTCATCAGACTCTCTTTCTCTTATGCTTGGCCTATTTCATGTGCAATCAAAGCTAGACATGACCCAAGTCTTGGGCCAAAGTTTGAATAAAAATAGCAAGGGAAAAAATAATAACATCTATTTGGAACGTTAGCCCTTTGAGATCAAGAGAATTTTATATGTAGTGAGGGAGAGTGCAGAGGTTAAGGCAAAGAACTTTGGAGTCATATTGATTGGGAGGCTTTGTACAGTTTACTTAACTCTTCTAAGTTTCAGTTTTCTACTCTATTTAAAGTAATCAATAATGCCTTCTTTATGAGGTTGTTTTAAAGATCAAAATTAATTATGAATGCAAGCACTGACACAATGCACATAGTAAGTGCTTAGTAAATTTTTGCAGTGTAGCATACAGCTCAAGAATATTGCATTTATTAATACAAAATATTTGGCAGAAAGAGAATCTATTTTTTTAATATCCTATCAAAATATATCTAGTTTCCAAAAAGTTGATCAGAGTAGATTAGAGCAGGTAATCATTTGCTACAAACATGCTAGAGGAAATACATGTTAGAAACCTGGGGCCCATTTGGTAATTTAGACAAAATAATAATTAAATAACATTAATATCAACCAAATGAAATAGAGGTTATTTATAAATTATGATACAGAGTGAAAGAAAATGAGACAAAATGACTCTTCATAGAAAAATCTGAATATCTCTTTATCATATGATTTTCCTATCTGAAAATATTAAATATATATGAGAATTTTTAACAATTTGAAATACATGACACGCATACTCTGCTTAAAATATTTTGTCCTGGAAGTCAAAGATACTTAAAAGATCTGTGGGTAGACTAGTCTGCTCACTCTAAACAGGTGCTTTTGACTTGATATCAAGGTTACTAAGAACCTAGATCTTGTCTTTGGCCAGAAGAAGAACTTTAGAAAAAATGTAGGCCTCATTAATCTGGGACAAAATCTCTGGCCCTGGAGAAAGATGATTCCTCAATATATTTGGATTACTTGTGGTTTTCATAATGTGGCCTAATGTTAATATTTTCCTCTATGAATTTAAGGTCTAGCAACCTTACCTGATTTGAAGTAAGAAAGCCTTATCCTCATGACTCTAAATGCTTACTACAGATTATAAACTCATG